GATTGTGAGAGAGAGAGAGAAGAGAGCGGGAGGAAGGAAAAAGGCGGAGGATCGCGGAGGAAAATGTTGAAGAGGGAAAAGAGCTGCGAGTCCAAGGGGACAAGAGCGAGGAGCCAGAGGGAAAAGATGAAGGGGAAGGATGGAGCGAACCATGAATAGTGATGAGTAATCAATTCCCTATCTAGCGGATCCACGGTTTTAGTCTCGGTCTTGATAAAGATTTATTGCAGCCGCGAACGAGGCTCATTTCAAAAAGGAACTATTGCGGAAGAGACTCGGCGTGTGTGCACGTCATCCAAAAGAATTTTTTCCAGATTGCAAACGCGGAAGCAGAAAATTAAAGGTATAGAGATATCGATGGTGATGCTCAGTCTTGGGGTTGCCTAAAGATTTATTGCGGCAGTGAAGTGCACTTTGAAAAGGAACTGCTGTAGAAGAGACTTGGTAGTTGCATGGTATCCAAAACAATTTCCTTGGGATTACAGACGGGGAGGATAAAATTGAAGGTATAGAAATAGTGATAGAGATCCTTGATTTCAGTCTTAGGTTTGCTAAAGACTTATTGCAGCGGACGAAGTGCATTTCTGAAAGGAACTGCTGTAGAAGAGACTTGATGTTTGTATGGTTCCCAAAACAATTTTCTTCGGATTGCAGGCGAGGATGATAAAATTGAAGGTATAGAAACAGCGATAGGGATCCTCGATTTCAGTCTTAGGGTTGATAAAGATTTATTGCAGCAAACGAGGTGTATTTGAAGAACTACAAGGGGCGTGATATTTGTATCCAAAACAATTTTCAGATTGGAGATGCGGAAGGATAAAATTGAAGGTACAGAAACAGCGAAAGGGACTTTCGACTTCAGTCCTGTTTAATAATAAAGACAACTTGCAACATCAAACGACGTGTATGCAAAGAAGGAACTGTTGCAGAAATTACTTGATATCTGTACGTTATCCAAAGCAATTTTCTTCAGATTGTAGACGCTGAAAGATAAAGTTGAAGGTACAGAAACAGCGAAAGGGACTTTCGACTTCAGTCTTGTTTAGTAATAAAGACTTGTTGCAACAGCAAACGACGTGCATTCAAAGAAGGAACTGCCACTGAAATTACTCGATATCTGTACGTTATCAAAATTAGTTTCTTTGGAGCGGAAGATGCGAAAGGAGGAAATAGGACGTGTGGAGACATCGATAAAGAGACTTTTCCCTGGTTCGATAAATGCGTTTATCAGCAACGCATTACAGTTCCAGGTGATACCGGAGGCGTGTTGAGCCCGTCACTAACGAGCGCGGGCTCGTGGTGCGAGCGAGAGGGACGGGAAGGAGTAGGACGGAAGACGCGGAGGAACGTAATAAAGGAGGGCGTACGAGTGCGATGCACCTGTGGCCCTCCTGCCCCTCCGCAACAGCTTGCGCCGGCCGGCGGTGCCTTCTCGTACCCTTAACTCCTCGACAAGTACCAGCTAGACAGCTGGCGAGCCGGCTAGACCAGTCCTCGCCCTCGCGGGCTGAATTTTCGTCACGGAAATTGGCCACCCTCGGGTCCCGTTCGCCCGGCCAATTTCGGATGCATCGATACAGGACACCGTCGCCGCATGCGTTTCCGCAGTTTCATGCGAACCACGCTCGCGGAAACGGCCGATCGCGAGCCTCGTGGCGTAATAACGCCGCACCATGAATTTTGAACGAGCGAGCATGGAATTCCGCTCGTTGCCTCTAAGCGGACACGCCGCGTTCGCCATCGGTGAATTTCTTTTCGCCTCCTTTAACCCTTTCACTGGCGAACGCGTGTGTATTCTTTGATTTCTATACAAAAGGTGTGAAGCTTTTCACTAGAAACATTCAATGAGACATAGACACTATTGGAAACAAACTAATGAGAAAATTAAGTCAATTAACCCTCTATGGGCGGAATTTTTGTTCATGATTATGACAAAATCTATGCAGTACAAAATTAATAAATATCCACATGTGAACACAAATTAACCATGTATTCAATACTTTCAATAATTTCATCGAACGAATATATTTTATAACTTTCAAGTTATAATGACGTTAAACTTTCACGCCTGAGTGTATGAAAGTTTAAGTTAACTGATTACTGATACATGATTTCAAAGTTACATGGGCCTACAGAGGGTTAAGCTATTTTATAGTACTTAATATTATATATAACACTTTATGATTTTGTTATATCAAATCAAATGGTGACTGAGAGTTTGATATTCTTTTTACAGTTAGTAGATTTAAACTATGAAGGGAGCACGCATCGGAAGAGACTTCTTGCTGTTGGACATCAAGTCATCCCAATAGCGTATCGCTGATCTGTCAATGTATAGGAGAAGCGTAGGTATAGTGGACCTCTAATGCCTTGGCTGACTACCAACAAGCTAGAGGCAAGTGGAAGCGTCTCGATTGAGTGATGCTCGCTCGAGTCGCAGCAACAGTGACGCTTCGATATTGAAAGCTTCTTGTTACTCGCGTAACAAAGAACGCAAGCGAAACAAACCGTGACAAACTGGGATGTAACGATAACAAATAAACGCTGCCACCGACTTTGGGAAAAACGAGGTGGAGCGAATGTTTCCCCCTGCCTCTGTACACCTTCAGCTGGCAGGTAGTCCAAGCTGAAACGTGAGAGATCCGCGATACGTGTAAACACAACCAATCAAATTTCTTTACTGCGTATTTGGTGTTTTGCTAACTAGCGCGACACTCTTGCCAGACGACATCCAAATATAGCGTTGTGTAATGGTTCTAAGTTGAAGCCGTTCGCACTTGAAATGGCTCTAAGCGCCGCGGTCGAAGGGTTAACCCTTTGCGGACCAATGTCGACATATTCGAATTTCCATATTTGAAATAGCCCGTAAACTATTCTTTCTATTATTTAACACTAGAACTACCGAACACTTAAACCGCCTTTCTAAAATATCTTTGTAAAAGCTACCAGTGTGGATTTACTAAGATTTCAATTGATTTATATTTCAGTTTAGTTGTTACTTAATCAGCTTCTTTAGAAATTTTTGAAAAAAGTATTCGCACCTTTTCAGTAATCAAAAGAAAAAGTCAAGGAATGGTTCATTTTGACCCATCTACTAGTTCTATTGTTTTAGTACTCCGAGAGTTAAAGTGCACAATAATCTCAAACAATTAAGGCCATATAAAATTGAATGTCTTATAAATTCGAATGTTACAGCATTCGCGTCATTTTTCATCACATTGAAAATGAATGCTACAGCATTCACGTCCGTGAATGTGTTAAGCAATCAATATATAATTGAATTTCATCTGTTGAAGGTTTCGTTTCAAAGATTCTTCGTCCGCCAACGGTTAATTCTATCTGACGTAGGAATATTCATTTCTCCAGCGATCGGAATCGCTGCGTTTACACGATATTTCACTCGTGGATCGTTATCTTGACGTTCCGCGAGGATCTCAGGCCTGCAGGTGACCCCCGCGCGGCGCCCATTCAGCGTGCGTTCCCTCTA